CTTAATGCTTTGGCTTCTCATCAACCCTGCCTTTCTCTAGTTTTCTGTGGGCCAACGAACGCTTGGCCTTTCAATAGGAAAGGCCGTGCTCCTGCCATCAGGGCATCTCAGGAAACACCTTCCCCTGCACATAAACACAGAGGGGCTTTGCACGATGCAGCATTCATTGCATATGCACGTTGAATTACATTTCATTAAACAAGATTAAAGAGAATCAAAGCTGATGTCAGTATATTTCAGACTGTCCCAAGTCAGCAACAGAGTTATGTGACTGTGAAGAACAATATTACAGGCCCAAGAGGCTCGTTAGTCTGCTCTCATTAGCCTCGGGGCCTCAACGCAGGACACACCAACAGGCGCGGAGAATTCCACGTGGGCGGCCAGCTGCAGCTCCTGAAGTCTGTCTACTTGACAGCCCTTTGGGTCCCAGAAGGGCAACAGCTCTGTGTACAGTGAAGCGTGGGCAGGCCCCGGGAAGGGGGCCAGCTGTTGCTACCAGTAAGTGTTTGCTTGCTCTGGAGAAGGGTGCAGCTCTCCCTGGATTCCCAGGAGAGTCTGGCTGAAAGGTAATAAAATCCTCACCCAGAGATGACCTCTTTTAGGCCACACTGCAACCTTGGCTCCAAATAGCAATTTCCTAAGGAAAATCCTCACCTTCCTTATAGGGCTCTTTATGTTCCTGGACATGAAACAAGTTTGCAAAGTTAATGCAGCGTGGTTGTCAAGGATTACATGATAGTCTTTTTATATTGCACAAGTAGTTATGACTAAAAAAATTATAAATAGCACCAGGTTTATAGATAAGCATCTGAAAGGAACTAACACTCAGCGAACACTTATATGTGACCTTGGGCTGAAGCCTAAGTTTGGGACAGGAAATTGGAAACATAGCTAGAGTAGTCGCTCCTGATCCATGGGGACGTGTTCTAAGACCCAAAGTAGATGCCTGAAACTGCAGATAGTACTAAACCCTATATATACTGTTTTTTTTCCTATACGTACATACCTGTGATAAAGTTTAATTTATAAATTTAGTCACAGTAAGAGATTTACAACAATAATAATAAAACAGATCAATTATAATAATATATTGTAATAAAAGTTATATAAATGTGATCTCTCTTTCTCAAAATATCTCACTGGACAGGACTCACCCTTCTTGTGATGATGTAAGGTGATACAAGGCTGGCGTGTTGAAATGAAGTGAAGCGAATGACACAGGCATGTGACAAAGGGTTAGGCTACTGTAAGGGCTACTTAAACACAAGCACTCCGATACTGAGACGGTTGATCTGATAACCCAAGTGACTAATAGGCGGGTAGCTCTACAGCCTGGATATGCTGGACAAGGGGTGATTCACGTCCCAGGCAGGATGAAGCAGGATAGTGTGACATTTTATCAAGTTACTCAGAATGTGCAAAATTTAAAATTTATGAACTGTTTATTTCTGGAATTTTCCATTTAATATTTTTGGACTGTGGCTGATCAGGGGTAACTAAACCACGGAAAGCAAAACTGCGGAGAAGGGGGAAAACTGTGTTGCATTGTTGAGGTGGTGGGTGCGCTGATGCACATTGAGACAGTGCTTCAAGGGCACTGGCAGCAGACTGTGGACATGGACGCTTGAGGGCCTTCCCCTGGAAGAATGAGCCTTCGTAGTATCAGCCCAGGGGCCTGTGGTCATTCTCACTCCAAAAGCAGTGTTGCTTTGCCTGGAGGGCAAGAACACTCACCCTTCCTTGTGGTAGGTCAGCGTGTAGTTGGTGGGGAGTCCTCCATCCGGCCCAGGCTTCCACCAGCACGTGAAGGTTTCCTTTTCAGAAGAGCGGCATTTAGAGATCTCAGGTTTCCCAGGAGGTGACTGTCCTAGAAAAAGCCAGAAGCCACTGGAATCAATCTTAAGGTCCATTCAAGCATGTGATCATTCTGCTGGTGACAAAAGCAGTTTTATGGAACCATGCCAGTGATGAGGTCTGGGGGCAAGTAGGCCTGGGGGAGAGAGCTTTGTGGCCACATTGGTGGTGGTGGTGGTGGTGGTGGTGGTGTGTGTGTGTGTGTGTGTTTGTGTGCTATGAGATGGAGATACCAGCAACCTAGGATCAAGCGACAAACTGTAGAATTTCAACAGAGAGTGAGCACCAGGAGTAGGATGGGCTGAAGAGTGTGTGGCCCTTCTATAGTCCCATGGAGTTTATAAAGCTGGTACCCACCTGCCCACAGCATAAAGGTGGCCCTAAAATGAATTCTCCCCCTTTGCTGACACAGGTCTCTCTGGCACTTGTCCACTCTGCTCACTAATCTACATGTTTTTGCCATTTCCACACAATTAACTCAGTCTCTAATCTTTTGTGTTTCATCGTATCGCTGATGCTCCTCCTTTAGCGGCCTCCTTCCCCGTCCCTTCCCCTCTCCTTTCCTTCCTTTCCCCTTCACTTTTCCTTAATTCTGTTCCACGTGGACCTGTGACCCAGTCTCACAGTACATCTCCCCATCGCCCCCGCCCCCTATTTCTGCATCTTGGTTTTTAGTCTCTCTTTTTTTTTTTTTTTACATTTCCCCCTCTCTCCTTGGGTCTTTATGTGGAGAGGGGCAAAGGACTTCCTTGTAATTCTATGGCTTTTGGGGGGGGGGGATGGTGGGAAGCTGGGGAGTGGGGTGCTGGTCTCCTGGTTACAGGCCACCACGATTACCTAAGATCTGTGTCCAGGCCCAGCGGGAAGCTGGAAGGTCTGAAAGAGGTGATGTGGAAAACACAGTGTCGAGGGGATGGAATGTTTTCGTTGCCTAATCCCCGAAGTTCTTGGTGAGCTGGCCCCTCTTCTCTTCCATATCTGTCAGGCCCCTGGAGGAATTGTGACCCCGAGAGCTTGCCCTGATGCTGGGCAGAGGAGCCCCACCTCGCAGGATTGAACGAATGGTATGACGCGGGGCGCAGGCTGGCCCGAGGACGCCAGGCCGATCGCGTTGCCAGCTGCGCTGCGCTCCAAGCCCCCCAAACGGCCCAGGCCGGCCAGCCTGGGGCCCACTCTGCCAACAGTTGTAACACTGCTCGTCCTCTAGGATAATTTCACAGGCTGAGGCAAGGGTTTTGTTTTTGTTTGGTTTTTATCATGGCTGGGGAGGAGTGTGTGAAGTAGAAAGAAAAGTTTATTTTAAAAGCCCCAAAGCTAGGGGTATTGTTGACACTCTGGGCAATTAACATTTCCCTGTGGACGATACTGATCCCTGCTTTCCTTCTGCTCTCTGAAAGCTCCTCTCTTTCACATTTCACTGGCTGTTAGCAGTACCTCTAGAAACTCAACAGGGGGCTGTAAAGTTGTGAAATTACAGTCAGTCAAATGTTCCTTCCACCCACTGTAGAGGAGACAGTTAAAATGAATGGACTGTCTCGCGACCTCCATAAAGTGCACACAAACACAGGGACAGCCACATAGGCACATTACACACAGGTCTACACACAGGTCCTCACAGAGCTCGCATTAGAAACACACGTGACGCCCCACACAGAAGTACACTCAGGTGCATACTTAGAGAAGTACACACTGGTACACACTCAGAAATATACACATACAGAGAGGTACACACACAGATGGATACTCAGGTACACACAGAGAAGTAGTTGCAATCAGGCACACACGGAGAAGTTAATGTACACACAGGTACGTCCAAAAGTACACACACCCAGAAATGCAAAGGGTAGGCGCACAGGCACACAGTGCAGTGTAGCTGTGAACTTCATCTCCCCCGTTAGCACAGGTAATAGAGTTGGCTGTGCCCCTTTCTCACCATGCAACAACAACCTCTCATATCTCTTTAGTTTCTCAAAGATTTTTCACATACAGTATTTCATTTGAGGTGGAGGAAGCATCACTATCCTCACTTCGAAAATGTGGAAGCCCACAGAGGTTAGGTTATGGGCCCGAGGTCACACAGCTGGTAACTGAACAAAACCCAGACGGAAGCTCTGGTTTCGTGTTTGTCCAGCTGCCTCACTGCACTCCCGGAGTGAGGATGGAAGCCCGAGCACAGTGACAGGCTTTTGCATTAATTTTTAGTGCCAAATACATTGCAAAGCACTTAATAGCAGCCAATGACACTAACACGTTCATTTCTTGTAACTGCATTACAAGAGGGCTGTGATGGACTCTCCGCCTTCTCAGTAAACACCCCAGGGAACTAAAGAGAGCAGGACAGTCTCTTACTTACCGTTCAGAAGATTGGTGTTGAGAAAAAGTAGCAAAATGGCAACCAATGTGGGCGCCACATTTCCCTTCATGTTGGCTCCCTTGTTTCCACAGGAAATCAGAGGTTCACTGGAAGAGAAGGCACCAGGCAACCTTTTTGAAATGACAGTCTGGTCAGACACACGCACCACTTTATTCTGGGTGTTTGCAGAGGATTCTTGCTCCCTGCTTTATGGGAATGAGAAACAGGAGGGAAGGAGTGTAGGGAGATGTAACATGGTCCAATGGCTTGGCTCAGAGGCTTCTCTGCGCACATGCTGGGAAATATTCCACCACCAGAGGTCGTCAGATGACAGCCTTCAAGGGCCGCAGCGAGGCAGTCGGCTCCTTTGCACGCACCCCAAGGAAAATTTGCTCTCTTCCACCCAGCAGTCACCTAACGATATATTGCCCATTTTGTGTCACATGGACTGTGTGCCCGACTAGAGAACTGTTCTGGGAGGGCTTTGATCTAGCAGCCAAGAGTAAAGCAGGCTGGGAAGTCGGTACACTCAGTCCAACTCCAACCTGGCCTCACGGATGCTGCAAAGTTAGGGGGCTTCCTCTGGGGGATCAGGCTGAGAAGGTTCTGGAAATCCTGGCTACAGGCATGGCCATGAACTACACAGTGAACTTTGGTGAACTTCCATGTGGTTTCTTTCTCCCCTTCAGAAAAGGTCCATAAACAAGAAATGACAAACCCTATAATAATTCAAGTCCCTTGGGTTTGGAGTGTTAAGTAAGATTTGAACCTGCAGGGTTGAGAGTTTCAAGTATTATTAATATTATTTTTACCCTTGGAACCAGTTTCAAAGCCTCTAAATGTCCTTTTTGTTAGATTTCACGCAACTCTCAGAAAACAACAGATTTGATGAATGAAGCGCAAATACTTGGAAGCACGCGGCGCACAGTTTCCTTTAAATTTTTCCTTTTTTTTTAAATCAAGGGAAGACCATCCAGGGGCAAGGCTGCTCATCTGGGGACGTTTGAAATGACTTTTATTTGATGAGCCCCAAAAAGGCCAGCCTTTGCCCATTCCCCATCTGCCAGTGGGCTTCTTGAAAGCTTTGTCCACCTGCTCTTGCTCTCTCTGAGATGTTCTCAGAGATAAAAGTCTTAGTGACAATAGAGGTTTGGGGCTCACGGGTGTCATCAAGTGACTCTCATATCGGGGCTCTGGGAGGTGGCCAGGACGCTGTTCTGTGGGGACCTTCTAGTCACTCTTCCACTTCCAGATTGTACATTCTAAACTGCCCCATCCATCTAACTCCTCAGGATTGCCTATTGAAATCAAGTTAAAGACTCATAATGGGCTTAAAATCATGCCTATTGTGCATGGAACCCTTACTATGGGCTGGTCATTGTACTAAGTATCTGAATTATTTAAATTTCGTTTAGCCCTCACAATAGCCCCAACTGTAACACAGGTTATGACTAGCCCCTTTTAACAGATGAGGAAACTGAAGTACAGAGTGGGTTAGTAAACTTTCAGTCATGTGTCATTTAAAGACAGAAGTCTGGCAAATCTGAGCACATCTGGGAAATCATCTCGATTTGTGGACAGTCTGTGATTGATGGTATATTATTCTCGCTTTGATGGGGGGAGACAACGCAGACAATAGCAACCTACCCAAGGTGGGCAGCACGCCAAGCCCTGAGTGGGCTCGGAGTCAGGAGAACTAGGGCTCAGAGAGTTCACCTCAGCACCCCCTGGCGCCTGAGCATCTCGAACACTTGACTGCCACTAATCTAGCTCCTGTAGGTCCGGATGGCCTCAGTGGAGTTCTTTGTCCTGGGGATCTGGTGACCTCAGCCGGGCTTGGGGATGGAAATTCCTCCCACTGGCTGAAGAGGTATTATAATATCCTTTTATCGAGATTTCCCTGCTCTTTGGGGCATTGCATCAAAGTGCTTGAGAGTGACATACTTTAAACCACACCTTTGGGCGAGGCCAGATGCTATCCAGACTTCTCTACCCAATCAGTGCTCCAAGTGTTTTGCAAAAGAAATGCCTGGATGAGGAGCTGGGTGGGGGCAGAGAAAGCAGATATTGCCATTGCTTATACTTTCTGGTGCCCTGATCCAGGCTCAGAGAAACTCTCCTAGATAAAATTTCCCTATAGAAATACTTTCAGAAAGTATTTTGTGGACTTAGATGAAACCACGTTTGCCAGGATTTCCTAAGACAGCCTGCAGTTTGGTTACTAGCCATGTGCATTTTCTGATGCCTTGAGACCTCTGTGCTAGGGAATTAGATATGCACATAGTGGTGTCATTATTGTGTTTCAGTAATGATTTCCCAACTCATTCTGCGTCTTGCTCCCCAGCAGGACAAACACTGCTGGGTAAGTAAACGTTCAGAGAGAAAGATAACAAGCCGGTCACTCCTGAGGGAGCTACACTGGATGTTAACCCTGATCGCGTCTTGTGTGTTTTCCCAGCACTTGGCACACCTCCAGCTGTCACTGACCATTTTTTATGGCTGATTGACACTAGGCTGGGGATGAATTTGGTTTTGGCTTTTGTCTCTCTGAGCCAACTCCCCCATTGCCAGCAGGATCTTGATCAAGACCATTTACCCCAATTGGAGCTGGAACACCCAAGAGGCTCTGTAGACTGTTTTTAGTGATGGTTATAGTGGCAAATGGTTTCAAATATTTTGAGTTCATTTAGGAAAAAGTCAGCCCCACGCCTCTTCCTGAAGGCAATTATCTTGGCTTCACTCCTCACCAGCTCCCTAGGTGTGACTGTGGTTTGGAAATGGAAGACTTGGAATCAAAGAGCAGGACTGTAGCAAGTCAGCAGCTCCCACACCTTGCCCGCGACCAGCTGCCTGGCTTCCCAGCTCCTGAATCCTTGAACACTCTCCCATCTTTCTGCTCCTCCCACTGTCTTGCTCAAACATGCCTTCCCACCTGTATGTCCCACTGCGGTACAGCCCCACAGAACTCCCTTCTTATCAGTGCTGAGCCTGTTCAGACCCACTTCTTCCAAAAGCTTCCCTTCATTGCTCTCTCCCATTAAGCCAAGCGTCTTCACCCAGGCCAACAGTTGAGAAAGAGAAGTCTGGCAGTTTTTGCCCTGGTAGCTTGCTATTCTGAGAAACAAGAGCCACTCCCCCTGGATGGAAGATCAGGGCCATGGTCCCATAGCCTGTACTGATCCCACTCTCTATGGTATGAAGTGTGTGCAACAGGAGAGGAGGCAGTGTGGCCTCCTGAGAGCACAAAATAACAGATCTGCACTCGAGCCAACCCTAAACCTCAGCCATCTCAGCTATACCATTCTGTGGGACTTGTTCCCAAGACCTGGTATCAGGTGATCCCCACAGTGAGTATAGTCCCTACCTTGTCCTGCCCCATTTGGCCAGATTTTTGAATCATTTCCCCTGACTCTAGAGATGGACCTAGCATGCTTAGCAGGATTCTGAGGACCTCCTTAGCTCTTGCAAACCCAATTCCAATGGACAAGCCTGCCCAATCCAAGATCTGCATTTCTTTAAAGACTGCCATGCGTAAGATATGTACAAATCATAAGTATCATGCTCAACGAATTATCACCAAGTGAATTTGCTCATGTCACAACCAGGTCAAGAAGGAGAACATGACTAGAATGCCAGAAGTCCCCCTGGTGTCTTCTCCCAATCTCTACCTACCCCTTCCCAGTAGAAACCACTCTTCTGACTTCTAACACTACAGATCTGTTTGGACGACTTTTAGACTTTATATAAATAGAATCATGCAATATGCATTTTTTGAGTGGGTGTGTCTGGCCTCTTTCATTTCACGTTGTATGATTCAGCCTTGTTGTTACATGTCATTTTACAAAATTCATTTTCACTTCATTTCATTCATTTTCATTCATATTGCATCGAATGAAAGACCATAATTTATTTATTCATTCTACTCTTGATGCACATTTGCCAGTTTTTGGCAGACTTTGAGTTTTGCTAAGACTGGTCAAGGCTCAGATCGCAGGGAGGCCCTGCACCCCCCATAGCCACTTTGCGTTCCTCCCCTCAGTTCTCTACAGAATAATTAGGATGCTGCCTGCTGTATCTCCTGATGATTAATCCAAATTAAATTTCAAATGTCTTTCTTGTCTTAACAATGCAAAACGTTTCATTTCTTGCAAACAAATTACAAATACATCCTCCTATTGTTTTCAATGTTAGGGACTGTGTGAGGTGCTTCCTTGGGGCCTGCTGGGTTGGGGTCCTCAGCCCACTGGGTCCCCTTACCTGCCGCTCCGCCTGGGTTAGATGGTCTGAGGCTGGACTAACAGGGAGAGAACCCCACATGTACCCTGAGATTTCCAGGAGTCTGGCTTGTCTTTCCAATAGACAATGCCAACATTTAGCCTGGAAAGCAGAGGACATAATGTGCTCAGAGTGGGGCGAGCAGGAGGAGGGTTAGTGATTTCGCACCAGGGGACGAGATTTAGGCCTTTGTACAAACTCTGCCAAAGTCAATGGCCAACGACTTCTGGAATAAATAAGTGAATCGATGAAACCCTAACGGTGAAAAAGCAGAACAAGATTCTGAGACATGGGATGAAACTTCACTCAGGAGGATGCACCCTAAGCTAGCATTAGCGAATGTTAGACTTGGAGCCAGCTTAGTATTGTGTCTTTGGCAGGGGAACTGGAGAGTTTCAAGGAGAGTATGGCAATTGCTCTTTGCGAGACATTGAAAGTTGGGGATGGGGTGCTAAGAGAACCCTGGTCCAGGGTGGGAGACAACAGTTCTAGCTCTTCCTAGATGGGTGCGATGCATGTGCCCATAGCAATGCAGTGTTTCTGTCCATCGCCAGACCACGTGTTCACACATTTGTGAACTTCCACAGCAGTTCCCTTGCTCATATGATTATCCATTATTATTATTGTTTATCACTGCAATTATCAAGTTTGCACTTTATTGATTCCCAATAAGGTTTCCATCTTGTTCCTTGTTTTGAGACAGCCTTTGATAGGAAAATTCTGGAACTTCCTACAAGGGGATCCCTTTTACATAAAAGGACCATCACATTAGAGCCTAGCAGTTGAGTCAGAACATCACGGCTGTGTGAAAGTGATCAGAAATAGTATAAAGGCTGCTGTAGATGCCCATCTTGAT